TCGACTTCAGGGCCTGCAAGATAGAAGGCAAATGCTTCTCTTCGGGGATGGTTAGTGGAAATGCTCTTGACCCCGGTGGCATAAGTGGAAGTTGGAAATGGTTATCCAACTCCACCATCATGGCTTGTATGTTGGGAGTCAAGGCAAGTTCTAAAGAATTTTCCTCGAGATCATTCTCAATCACGCTCAATAACTCATCCTCTCCGTTTATTTCAAAAGTATTTTGCACAAGAGGATCAATAATATCAATGGCAAATAGAGAATGATTTTCATTTGGGTATTTCATGGAGTCATAAATGTTGAATTCAACTTTATCTCCATCAGATTCCATCGTTAAAGATCCGCTAAAGACATCAATTTTTGCTCTAGCGGTCTTTAAAAATGGCCTTCCTAAAAGGATAGGAACCACATTCTTATCATTCTCCATTTCCAAAACATAAAAGTCGGCGGGAAAGATCAAATTATCAACCATAACTAGTACGTCTTCGACAATACCTTTAGGATAAGCATTTGATCTATCCGCAAGTTGAATGACTACTCCGGTTTCATTTAGAGGGCCAAGCTCAAGTGATTTGTACAAAGAATAAGGAATGACATTAATTGACGCTCCTAAATCTAGCATGGCCTTCGAAAACGTAGTACCTCCTAACTTACAAGGTATAGTGAACATGCCCGGGTCATTGTATTTCTTTGGAAGTTTCTTTTGAAAAACCGTTGAAACACGTTCACTAACTTAGACTTTTTGTTTTCCATTGAGTCTATGTTTCCTTTTTATTGTACATAACTCTTTAAAAAAAATTGAAAATCGAGGGACACCTTTTATTAAGTTAAGGAGAGGGATATTTACCTCACATTTGGAGAATGTCTCATAGATGTCCTTATCTTTCTCCACCCTTCGTGTTTCCCTTAGAGCCTCGGGAAAGGGTGCTTCCACTTCATGAACAACCGGGGGTGGAGTCGATATGTGAGCTTCCTCCTCCTCTGGTTGAGCTTTTTCCACAAGCTCCTCTTCTTCCTCCTGGCCAATGTGGCTTTCGGCTTTCTCTTTGGCAATGACCAACTCCTTGCCACTCCTTAGTGTCACGTCATGGGCTTGTTGTCTAGGATTCGGCTCCGTTTGAGATGGAAGCTTTGCCGAATCCTTGGCCTCAAGTCTACTTACCGCACTTGAGATTTGGCCCATTTGGGTCTCAAGGTTTTGGATGCTAGACTTGGTCTCATGTTGAAATTGAACCATGTTTTGTTGCATGGTTGAGACATTTGAGGTGAGTGCTCGGATCATGTCTTCGGTGGACATATTTGAGCCTTGTCCTTGGGGTTTACAGTATGGTTGTTTTGAGGAAATTGGTTTTGTGGAGGGTTATTTTGTTGTGGGTTTCCTTGAGGATTCCCATACCTCAAATTGGGGTGATCTCTAAACCTGGGGTGATAAGTATTGCCATAAGAATCGTACCTCTTTTGATTTGGGAACCCCAAAGCGTTAACTTGTTCGGGGTTGTCTTCTTGAAGAGTTGGACAGGAGTCGGTGGGATGTCCTTGTTGTGTGCATATGCCGCAGACCTTGACTTCTTGGGTTTTGGAATTTAAGAGAAAATCCTTAACCAAGGAAGTCAAGCCGGCCATTTGACTCTCGAGTGATGATGTAGATTCCACCGCCATAACTCGCTTTGATGATGACCTCCCATTGTAATGTCTCGAGTTTTCGGCCAACTCCGAGATGAGGTTCCTTGCTTGAGAGGTTTTTTTGTTCACGATGCCCCCTCCACACGCCGCATTCACCATGCGTTGATCATGTTCCGCAAGACCATCATAGAAGTAGAGGACGAGGTCTTGCTCCGTGTACCCATGATATGGGCAACTAGTGCAAAACTTTTTGAAGCGCTCCCAATATTCGTAAAGTGATTCATCATCACCTTGTTCGATGTTGCTGATTTGCTTCTTTAAAGATGATGAAATGGAAGCGGGATAATACCTTTCCAAGAAGCATTTTTTCACAGTTGCCCATGTGTCTATACTTCCCGAAGGAAGATAGAAAAGTCAATCCTTTGCGGTGTCCTTGAGTGAGAATGGAAAAGCCCGCAATTTGATTTGCTCCTCGGTGACTCCATTAGGGCACATGCTTGTGCAAACGACGTGGAACTCCGAGAGGTGTTTATTCGGATCCTCCCCTCTTAGGCCATGGAAGGATGGAAAGAGATGAATGAGCCCAGATTTTAGCTCAAATGTATTACCCTCGTTGAGTGTAGGGAAGGTAATACATAACAGTTGTTGATTCAAGTTCGGAGCTGTGAGCTCCCTCAAAGTTCTTGTTTCTTGAGCCATAGTGATTGACTCTTCAGATTCGCTAGAACTAGAGCTAGCGTTTGAGGATTCCTCCGAGGGTGTGTGCGGAAATAAATTTCTCAACCTCTCGAAGGCTTGTTCTATTTCGGGATTTGCTTGATAAGTGATCTCGTTTATTGAACGATATTTGACCATACACTTCACAAAGCTCAGAAATAGAAAGAACTCTTAATATTTTGGTTTTTTTTTTCTTGAAATAAAATAAAAAGAAAAATAATTGCCTTTCCCCGGCAACGGCGCCAAATTTGACGTGCACTTTGTCGTGGTGTGCACTCAAAATAATTATCAATACAACAATTATACGTAGTATATTGAAGTAAGGTTCGTATCCACAGGGAAATGAATACTTCTCTTTTTATGTAACTAGTAACAAGGGGGATTTAAAGTTTGATTTGATTTAATTAATTAAATACGAAGATGAACGACTTATATGAGTTTAATTAATGGAGATGAGGACTTCGTTTTGCTTTTATCCACTTAATGAGATGTTCGTCGATCCCGGTTATATTTTTAACTATCTTCCTCTCGAATATTCAATCGAGGAGTATATCCAATTCATCGAGGGTAGTTATTAATAACGAGACGCATTCATTAATAAAACTTACTACCGAGTCAATATAGAACACGCGCCGTATATTAACCCGATAGTAGCAATAAACTTAAGATGAAAACGATTGAGATTGATAACCTCAACACAAGCGGTTTATTGGTTTAATCAATATAATTAATTCCCCTTAGATTATTAACCATGAGACGCATGCATTAATAATCCAAGTTTACTACCGTGAAACGACCGAACGATTAACAAGCGTATTCGTTGATCGATTCTAGTATTAATTAATATATGAAACAAAACTAGTTGATCCTTTAAGTAATGCTCAAAATATTAATATGAAATATGAATAGGAATTAATTAATATTCAAGGAAGAATATCAAAGAAGATAAATCCTACTATAACTAATGTCAAGATGTTAACTAATTGTCATCTTAGCAACACTCCCTAACATCAATATAGAGGAAGAAAATAAATACTACTATAACTAATGTCGAGATGTTAACTAATTGTCATCTTAGCAACACTCCCCAACATTAATATAGAGATAGTATTAAAGGAAAAATTAATATTCAAGGAAGAAGATTAAAGAAAATAACTCACAACTTACAATTCATTAAGCTTCAAAGTAGCAAAACCAAGATGGAAGAGTTTAGCTCCTCATTTGGAGACTAAACATGATAGAAAATATAAAGAAAACACTAATCTAAACTGAGCTTAAGAGTATATGTGAATTGGTGATTTTTTGTGGGAAGGAAAGGGATGCATTTATAGGGAAATGGAGCATGCAGGGGTGTGTACCCGATCGGGTATAGAAGGCTCCCGATCGGGTACACTCAGAAGCTTCCCAGAAGCTAAAAAACGTCATGCATACCCAACCGGGTGTGTCGGCTACCCGATCGGGTATGACACTCGAACATGGCCAAAATCTTCCCCGCATGTTGCTTTGTTCCCGGGTTGATCCGATTTGATTTTTCAGCAAGGTACCCGATCGGGTATAGGTCATACCCGACCGGGTACAACACAAAAAATCATAATCTTCAATTTGTCTTGAGATTTTTGCACCTTCCTTCTATTTGTGATGTTCACCAATGGTCCCTAGAGTGATCTTGGACCTGTTTGAGCTCAGAATAAACCTAATATAAAGAAATTACAAACATTTTTTACAAACTAAACTATTACACCAAAAGTGTGTAATTTCCAAAGTAGCAATCAATCTAAACTAATTAAAAACAAAAACATAAACATGGAAATTACATGAATGTCAGCTCACACATCCACTCTACTAAGTATTTTATCATTACATTGGCAATTCACATTTTTCAGAATTTGCAAGATACTTTAACTCTTTTGGGAGCGGGTCATCCATCGAACATAATTACGAAACTTATCGCATGAGAGATAAACCTGGTTCTTTAAATTATTGTATTCTATGCCGCGAGAACAGTAAAAACTTAGTATTGACATGTGTGTTACTCAATTAAATAATTTTCATGTGATTAAGCTTGATCTTTCTCAAAATCTGGTTACCCCCGGAATCAATCATTGTTTCCCTTCTGTCGTTAATTAAAAAGAGACATTTAATTTAGCTAGCTTTTTATTCATAGCATTTATTTCTCAAAAATCAAATCTCACATATGTGTTATTCAACACTTAATTCCATTTTTCGTTCATATGAAGACGATACTCGTACTAAAACTCTACTTTTATTTTATTTATATATTTGGAATTATTTCTTGAATTTATAAATTAAATTATGTACAAATACAATAATTAAAATAATTAAAAAATCTATATGTCAAACTTTTTTGAGGGTGAAGTAAGGGGAGATGGATGGATGTAGTAAATTATAAAGAGATGGCCGGGTCATGAATGCAAATTAAAGCTAACTAGTTATCTAACTCTTGCGTTACACGAGATGAAAAGTTAATTATTTTGACAATAATTCAATTATTTTTTTAAATGGGTGCATAATATTGTCTTTTGATGTGAATTACAATTAAAATGTTCTCAATTTTATTCAAGACAAAATGTTATATTACAAAACAACTCCGGTACTTATTTAAAAAATGGGATACCGTACCTATCATGCATTTGATTGGTCCAAATCATTATATGTTTTTTAATTTAGATTTAAATAATTCAACTGCATCATTCTTATTGGTCCATTTGGACAAAGGTACGGTACATTTGGGGTACCGTAGAATCTACCATAATAAAGACCTCTTTGTATACAACATTTAATGTGGAATTTGTCGGTCTACCATTATCGTCACAAATCAAAAATCAAAAACTTCAAATCAGCTGGACTCGTGACTCTTGATACAACAACATAAAGCTGCCCATGGGTGAAAACTGGTAGTCGTAAGAATATCCCCACATGCAATTTTATACTATGTTCGTTCCAAAAAAATTGACTAATTTGACTTTTCTTAATCGTTAAAATTTAGACAACCATCCTACATATTATATTTGTGTGTATAGTATAAAAATTTTATATTTTACAAAAGATTTTTTCAATAAGGAATACTCATATTAAAATATGTTATTGGTTAAACGTTATGATGTTGACCAATAAAAGTGGGGGAGTAGCATGTAGGTGGGGACTGGGGAGCATATATATATACGTAGTATATGTTTATTAGCAAGGTGTTGAAGGTGAGCAGTAAAGATGACCGGCAAATCGGGTGATGAGACCGACGGTGCTCCCAGATAGAGCGGTGACGAGGTCGCGGTGGCCGTACTTTTGCGCCCCTTGAAGGTCCCCGGATTGGGTGAAGAAAGCGCCGTTCATGAAAACGTCGCCGGAAGAGACCCAGGTCCAGGACTTCCAGGAAGCGTCGGGGCAGTCCCGGTGGGTGACCTCCTTGAAGGGGTTGACGCCCGGCTGCGCAATGTAGCGGTTGCCCTGGCTGACGATGGTGGCGCCAGCGGAGCCGCCGACGGCGTACATGACCCAGTGGGTGTAGTCGTTGTTGACGATGTGGAAGAGGCCCCACCGGCAGCGGGGCATCCTCTGGTGGAGCCGCTTCCCGAAGTGGTTGAAGGCGACGGTGATCTGCATCACCTTGTCCACCGGGTCCCAGTTGTTGGCCCCGAACAGCAGCACCTTGTCGTGGTCGGTGAAGTGGGAGTTGGAGATGGTGACGGCGGTGGAGCCGGCGACGGCGTCGATGATGCCGTCGGCGCAGTTGTACATGGACACGTGGTCGATCCACACGTGGTGGGAGGCGAAGATGGTGATCCCGTCGCCCTCGTCCCCGGTGCGGATGCCCTTGTGGTCCGCGGAGTCCCGCAGCCAGCCGCCGGGCGTGGGCACGATGTCGCCGATCTTGACGTTGTGGATGATGACGTTCCGGACGAACTGGACGGTGATGCCGGCGCCGCCGGCGATGTGGACCGACACTCCGCGGCCGTCGATGGTCTTGTCGCTCTGCATGATGAGCTCCCGGGCCAGCTTGATGGTCATGCTCCGGGCGAAGGTGATCCACAGCGGCCTCTTCTGGATGACGGCGTGGCGCAGGGTGCCGGGCTTGGGCTCCACAACGTCGTTGTCGGACGGGTCGGTCACCACGTAGTAGCTCCCCGCCTTCCCGCCGCTGGTTCCCTTCGCGAACCCCATGGCGCAATCTGCCAGCCTCTTCCGGTTGGCGGCCCAGTTGCGGTCGCATCTCCAGCACCTGTCCATCGGGTTCGTCGCCAGGCATCGTCCCCCCCGCCACTTCCCTCTCTTCCGCAACTCCCTTCTCTTCGTCCCATTGTTATAACTATTATTATATATACTACTAGCTATAGTAGTAGGACTTCTCATCCCATCCGCCACCTGCAATTCTCCCATTGTCTCGTTCCATTCCCTGCATGCGCCCAACTCCCCAGGCCAAAAGTTCAATTAATTCCTAGTTAGTTAAAAAATTAAAGATGCATGCATGATCGATCTGTGGGCTCTTAATTTTTTTTATGTAAATGTTTTAATTCATAATAAATTACATTCATAAACAAATAAATAATAAAATTAAATTAATAAATTATTCGTAAAATAAAAAAATTAATATATAAATTAAAAAAACGTCTCCTCTCCCACCACCAGCTCCGATCACCGAAGGAAATCTGCTGACATTTTTAGTAATGCCATAATAATTGCAGATTCAATGAAAATTTCAACATTATCAACAGTTATAATGCTATTTTCTCGACATTTTTCAGAAAAAATAGCATTTTTTACAAAATATGGAATAACTTTCACTAATCAGAGGTGATGGTGCAGTTAGGCGGTGGGAAAGGTATCCATGTTTTTTATAGGTTTCAACTATTTTTTTTTTTTAAAAATCAATTCTTTTACATTTTATTTTATAAAGATTTTATTATTTTTATTACTTTTTTATGATTTTTTTTCATTTTTTACGAATTTATAATGAATTAAAAAAATTTCATTATAAATTAATACCCTTAGAGGTATTTAGGGTAGAAAATAAATGTTTAGTCCTACTCGGAGGAATTTAAAAAATAGTAATTCTATTTGTGCTTTTTAGGAAAACTTTAGTACTGTTTAGGACAATTCCTATGAAGTACTTGGTAATATACTACCTTCGTCCCAATTTTTTTTTTTCAAAATCAACATTTTTTCGTGTTAAAGTTAAATGCTCCCTATGGATAAATAATTCCATTTTAATAATTAAAATTAAAATTTAATTAAGTGATCAAAATGAAATTATTTGAGGCAAAGAAACAAATTTTGCATGGGATGTAATTATTAATGAAGCTAAGTACGTACATGCTAACTCTTTCATTGAATTCCCTAGTAACTTGTTCGGGATTGGGGTGATAAGCTTTGAGAATATTTATCCGCGCTTGGGTGGCGCGCTGTTCCCACACGGTGTCGTCGTCCGCTGCTATCAGCTGCGGCATGGCGGCGAATGCGGCAAACAACGTGAAGAAAAACGGCATTTTGGCCATATTTTCTTTCCCGGCCGGCGATGGTCTAGGATTATAGCTGTCCTAGACCACCCAATTCGATCTCTATCTCTCTCTTTAATTACCCACGACGGGCGTTCGTTCGTAAAATTTAATTACCAGCAGATGATATGATTGCCCGGTTTAGTGCATGCCAGCTTTCCATCGGATGGGAACATTATATTGTTTCTTTAAATGCCGCGCGAGATTGAACCACAAAAAAATGCATGGTGCGCCAAGTGTGGACAACCGTACGTATAGTAGTGTATATATATATACACTTCTTACTCGTCGTATCATATAGGCCTCAGCGCATGCAGCGCATGCAATGTACGTACATATCTCCATGCATGCTCCTCCACCCACAGACTATGGGATTTAGTAATCTCCATCTCATTATATTAAGGTAGATTCTATCATTCTATAGTACCCTAAAGGTACCGTACCTTTGTCCACATGGACCAATCAGAATGTTGCAGTTGAATTATTTAAGTCTAAATTAAAATTGATATACCTATGTGGACCAATCAAGTGAATGGCAGGTACGGTAACCCATTTTTTCAATGGGTACCGGAGTTCTCACCTTATATTAATTCATTTCTAAAACATCTTTCACACTTTTCTTAAGCCATTTCTCGTAAACTAAAACTAATTAAAAGACAAATGTACACGAACTATAAGAATATCAAGAAATATGCTAATCAGGCTAGAAATCAAAATTAGTATTTTGTATATATTCGAGTAAGAATGAATATGATTTACAAAGGGGTTCACCACTATTTATATGAGAAGTAATTAATTAATGCCCCTGAGCGTTTCGTCTGTTTTTGACGGTTTGGTGTGTTCCTTAATTCATTAATTGTCCCGAGAAAATTAACTAATTAAAATATTAAACTAGTAAAAATGTGAACGAACAACGTTTCGAAAATAAAATGCTAAAAGATAAGTTCAATGTGATTAGTAACAAATAAATTAACTAATTAAAAGTGGAGTTTAGATTTGTTATCTATATTTTGTGATTTTTCAAATTTTAGCTTTCTATTAATATTTCAACTAATGAATTAATGAAAAACAAACAAAAAAATGATAAAACCCAAAAAATGCAGCAAGGCTGCGTTACAAAAAAACAAGCAAAGAAAAGAAAACAAAAAAAAAGAAGTCAAATAATTGTAGCTCAGCTGCGTTGAAAAGAAAGAAAAGAACAGGGAGGGAACAATCAACAAAAGCACATGGCTGAGCTCTTTTCAGCGGCCAAATCAAAACAAAACAACAAAAAAGGAAGTTGCAATCAATCAGCCGCAAGGAGATGGGATGGGCAGCAAAATCATCTGCTGGAAAAAGCAATAAAGGAGCGGCACCAACTGGAGGACAATACACTACACCTGCAATCATTCAACCGCAAGGAGCTCTTGGCCGGAGAAAAGAAGAACGAAGGCATGGGATAGGCAGGAAGAAAAAAAGCTCTAGCAGAAAGAAAAGAGAAGCCCATCAGTTCATTTATTTCCATCAGCTATCATCTTTCAATATTATCTTTTAAGGTTCGATGTTTAGTTTCTTGGTTATATTCATGTTGGATTAATCTTTATGTTCTGTTCTTGTATTAGTTAGTTCTAGTTTTCCGGACTTTCATGTTTGTTCTTGAACTGTTATTATTCTGAATTTTTACTCCGTATTTGAATTATGCTCATGTATTACTTAGGCTTTTCCTGCTTAGTTAGTTGTGATAGTTTAGTTACAATTATGCTAGACTAAATTTCCATGGGTTTGGATTTGGATAAAGTTAAGGTTAATGGGTGTTCTTGAATATTGAATTGAATTTGGGAAAATTCTCTAATTTTTAGGACTAGTTGTTTGAGATAAATTTGAATGAGTAATTTGTGAAATCGATCACTTCACTTGTGAATGTTTGGAAAATTAATTCTTGCTTGTCTATGAGTGTAGAATTAATTTAGCTCACATCTCACACCCTAAACTAAGCCTAGAAATAGGAAATGTTAGGGAATTAAAATTAAATTCTTGTCGGTGAGAATTAATGTTACTATTCTTAGAATGGAGAAAAGACCCAAATTTAATTATAATCCAAGACACCCAAGATCCTTAATTAATTTCAAATCTAAACCCCACTTTTAATTAGTTAATTTATTTGTTACTAATCACATTGAATTTATCTTTTAGCATTTTATTTTCGAAACGTTGTTCGTTCACATGCTTACTAGTTTAATATTTTAATTAGTTAATTTTTTCTCTCAAGTTATTTCGCATGTTCACTAGTTTTAGTCTACTCATTAATGTCATTTAATTAAATTTTCCGTTACTACTTTTGTTGTTTATTTTTATTTCTTTAATCATTATCACAATTAATCGTTTGAGAAAGCTTGCAACGATTCGTACTAACCGGTGATCGATATTAAAATCAACACTTCCCTCTGCCACTCCTCAGAGACACGATACTCGGGGATAAACTTATCCATCCGGAAGGGTTAAACTCCGTTTTACTACAACGCCGCAAAAGCGGGTTATCATGTTCTGTGAGGCTTTTAATTACGTAAACTCTGTCATTTATGTTTAGACGTGTTTGTGAGGATTTTTAATTACTTAAGCTCCGTCATTTATGTTTTGACGTTTATGTAAGGCTTCTTTTGTAGAGACTATGTGGTGTTTGCACTCATCGACATGTGTGGAGAATCAATTGTGTTTGCTTTGTTTTCACCTCTTTTCTTATAATGATGTAAGCCCCATCATTTATGTTTCGACATCTCAGTAAGGCTTTGTTCGATATGTATGTGTTGGGACATCGTCAGGGGCGGAGCTAGGGGTGCCCAGGCTAGGCCCTGGCCCACCCCAAAATTGAAAAATGTCAATATTTTTAGTGTAAAAAATTCCGTGTAAATTTTTTCCCAATAATATTCTTTGTACCGGTCCAGTCTAGCCCGGTGTCCTGGCTACGCCCCTGGACATCGCCATCTTCCATTGTTGACTGTTCCAGTGTTAAACGAATTTGACTAAAGTCGACCATAAGCTGGAGACTACCGACCGACTGACGCTCAAGTTAATAAACATGGAGGCATGCATAAGGGTCATTAGTAAAAAAATATCTTGTGATACCAAATTAGTGTTACTCAAAGTTTTCATGATAATAAAATGTGTCAATGAAAAAGAAGGCAAGTGACATTAAATTTTGTATTAATGATAGCTAAATAGATTAGTGTCGCAAAACAATGACAATAAATATTGTATATAATTATGATGTTATAATATCATAACTTTTTTGACACACTGGTATCATAAAAATATATGATACATTAGTATCAAACTATATATAATATATATAATTATAGGGGAGTGTTCTAATGAAAACCACCTTTAAAATGAGATCTCGTTTATAAATGAGAACTTCTAATCAACGCCCTTGATTTATGAAATCAAGGAATGAGGTGGCATTAATGTAATAACTCTACAATAATTACAAAAAATACCCCATTTTAATTTTGAATAATTACACAAAGTACCCCATGTGCATCCTACCAATGATTGAATTAAATAAAAGGTTGTCATTAAAAATTCTCATGATAACAAGTTCCCATTTTAAGATGAGTTCTCACTAGAACCCTCCCATATATATATATATATATATATATATATATATATATATATATATATATATATATATATATATATATATGATAGAGTATATGATACACTTGTAATTTCCGTATGTATGTTTACGTTTTTAGCTAGTTTTGGTTGTTTAGTATTTCGGAAATTACACACTTTTGGTGTAATAGTTTAGTTTGTTGAATTCTTGTAAATTGTTTAGATTAGGTTTATTCTGAGCTCAAACAGGTCTACTATCACTCAAAGGACGGTTGGTGAACCCCAAAAGTGGAAGGAAAGTGCAAAGTCACAAGACAAAAGGGGAGATCCTGATTTTTGGTCTATACTCGATCGAGTATCTTGTTGAAATTTCAAATCGGATCCGATCCGGGGGCAAAGGAACATGCAAGGAAAGATTTGGCCACGTTTTATTGTCATACTCGATCGGGTACACCGACATACCCGATCGAGTATACATATGAATTTGAACCTGAATTCGGTCGAGTATAGCTCAAAATCATCATTCTGCACATACTCGATCGAGTATCTATCTATACTCGATCGAGTACCCGAGCTGCACTCCCAAAAAGCCTATAAATACACCCCCTTTCCTTCACAATAAAAAACCAATTCCTATACACTCTTAAGCTCAGTTTAGAATAGCATTTCTTTATATTTCTTTTAGCATGTTTAGTCTCCAAATGAGGAGCTAAACTTCCATTTCTTGGTGTTGCTCTTGAAGCTTGTTGATTATTAAAGTTGTGAGTTATTTTCTTAACTTCTTCCCTTGAATATTAATTATTCTCTTAATCTATCTATATATTAATGTTGGGGAGTGTTGCTAAGATGACAATTAGTTAACATCTCGACATTAGTTATAGTAGGATTATTCATATTTAATCTTCTTCCTTGAATATTAATTCTTCCCTTGATCTATCTCTATGTTAATGTTGGGGAGTGTTGCTAAGATGACAATTAGTTAACATCTCAACATTAATTACTACTAGAAACGTTCAACGAACCGATGGTTAATCATTGATGGTTTCACAAGTAAGTAACTTCGGTTTATTAATGCACGGTCGTGGTTAATAAACTTAAGAGGGATTAATTTTGTTGGTTAAACCGAAACCGTTGTGTTGAGGTTATCAATCTCAATTGATTTCATCAAGGAGTTAAGAGATTAAATGCTATTATCAAGTCGGTATATGGCGGTGTTCTATACTTGACTAATAGTAAGGGTTATTAATGAACGGTCGTTGTTAATAACTACCCTCGATGAATTGGATATACTCCTCGATTGAGTATTCGAGAGGGGATAAGTTATAGATATAACAATGATCGACTAAAATATATCAACAAGTGGAAAGTAGCAATGCCAAGTCCTTTTTATCTTTGAATTAAATCTCATATAAGTCCTTCATCTTAGTATTTAATTAATTAAATTCCAACAATACCAAAACCCCCCTTTTATTTATTAGTTCATAAAAAGAGAATTATTCCTTTCCCTGTGGATACGAACTCTACTTCACTGTACTACGTATTAGTGCTCGTATTGAATTTATTTTGAGTGCACTCACGACAAA